TAACGTACCTTCTTCGTCTTGATAATTCTAATATACACAATATTATTAATTATTATCACCAACATAACACTATAAAACCTATAACCGAGAGCTATCGAAAAATGGACCTTTCTTTAGCCTTCTTTCGATAGCTCTCGGGTTATAGGGTTTTTTCGTTTTATGTTAAGACTTCTTGAACTTGCGTGTTTTTATGACATCATGAAATTATCACCAAATAAACATTCTGCTTCCTATATATGCATTATACTAAGGCTGAATGCAATGTCATACTTGGTTGGTGTAGATCCTGTGTCATGTTTACTGTGAAGCTATGAGTATGATAAGACATAGTATTTCTGACAGAGATGATGGCTTGATATTATTTTATAGTAGTTAGTGCATTAGTTAGGTTGACCAATTATAAATAACTAACATGTAGTGATAATGTTATGTATAAAGTATAATTATAAAGAAAACACTATATTGAATGTTTATCCTAAATTTAATTTGAATACCACTTGTTCCAGGATAACAATTTCAATAAGAACAATTATAAGTAGAACTAATTATAAGCACATTGAGAATCATTAGCATTTATTCAGGGTATAGATATCCCCATGTACATTAATCCTATAAAATATAACCAATAGGACAATATAATATATGTCAGGCCTAAAGTGCATTATTCTCATGGTTGAAAATTAAGTATTTTCAATTAATAGTGGTATACAATAAATTTTATAACTTAACAACCATATATATATGATTAAAACAATTAGGTCTTTCATATATTCAATGAAAAGTACACAATGAATACAATCTGTGAATGTATTTGGTCTGTATAAACAATAATTATAAACCTTAGACCATAGATATATAAGGAATTATTTTCCATACAATAATTTTATTCAACTTTAGGATATTTTGATAATGTACAGGGTGTTTCCAAACAGGTTAGAAATATACTGTTTACTTAAATCACTTTTCTTGTTTTTATTACTCTTCTTTCTCTCTCTCTCTCTCTCTGTCAACACTATGACAATGTTGGTTTTGAATAAAATGCTGTCAGTGTGCAGGATATTGCAAGGATCACTGAACACTCAAGAATAGATGATACATGCAGTAATTTTACTTAGCTTAAACACAGAGATAAGCTGGGTATGATGACCAACTTTTTAATAAATGTTACAATTTCCAGTGATTTTCAAGGATGAATATTTCATGAGATATAACCATTTCCATTGTGGGAATTTTCTTTAAAGATCACTTTGCATTTACAGGTTTTTCTCAGTTTACCTCAGCCTGGTGACAAAATCACACCCATTGTCATATTTGATCCATATCTTATGTAATTGTACATTTACATCTGATTTTTGCGTAACCTCAATCGGGCATTAGCTTTAGACCTACTTTGGGCTTAGCATGCCCAAGTGGTTAGCATACTAGACTGTGTGCCTAGCATTTGCTTTCTGTTACCACTTAAAACAAATGTTGCACTCCACATTTTGCCGTAGTGGGTGCTTTATAAGGATGGCTGTCAAATCCTACTATTTGGTTGGACATGAGTATAACCTTGTAAGATCTTGCACATTTTCAATTGATCATGAATGCATAAAATGCAATCCAGTGAGCCCTTAAAATCAAAAAGTTTCCTTTTATCTTAGGGACAAACATTTTAAATTCTAGTACCTAAGCTTAGGAGTTGTAGTTCTGAACGGGTAAGGGCATAAGCTCCATTGGCTTAACTGTAAGAGTGTTGGTACCTAAGCATTTTGTTTGTAGCTCTGGAACTTAGATATAGTCATTAAGCTGTCATCTTGGTGTGAGAATGTTGCTGTATAAGCCTTTATATTCTAGCTTTGAGGATTTTGGAGCATTAAGTTCCATTGTCATCTATGCTTTAATTTAACAAAATGTTAAAATGGGAATTGGGTTCCTAAAGGTTGCAAATTGCAAGGTTTATTTTAATAATTATAGGATTGCTAAGCTTTTAAATTTTTTTTTTTCTGATATGTTTTTCCAAGATAGGATATTAGCCATTTTTGTGACCCTAAGCATTCTTTGGGATATAGTTATGTTGACATTAATGCCTTGGTGAGAAGTTAAAAGATTAAAACTAGTAGATAAAACACCAGGATCAAAAGATGTTTTTCCAAGCATTTTAAAAGAGGTAAAAAATCAGATATATGAACCTCACCAATTTCTGTTATGTCAATAGATGGTGGGCAGGTGCCTTACGATTGGAATCTACTAACATTACTATTTAATTTTTTTTTAGAGGATGGGAAGACAGTAAGACTTATCCTGGAATTTATAAGCCAGTTAGTCTTATTTATAGTGGGGAAAATTTAGTTACACGAGTCCTATTCTTTAGTTTTTAGATATTAGACAATTGTCTGAGTATTTGAAAGTTGTTAATGTTACTCTTATTTTTACCATGTAAATTACAATGGGCAAGTGCTTAAGGATTGGAAGATGTTAACAGTATTTATATTTGTAAAGGAAGAGGATAAGAATTGCCATGTGAATTATAGGCCAATTAGTTTTACTTCTATAGTGAGAAAAATTACATCTTGATACAAATCACTAGTTAGGCCTCACTTAATTGGAATACTGTGAGTAATTTTGGTCTTTTTAGAGAGTAAGGATATTGATTTACTGGAGAAGGGTCAGAAGAGCCTAACAAGGAGGATTAAGATCTCTCAACTTTTTTCTTTTGAGAAGGTTAAAAGGTGATCTTATTGAAGTTTACATGATTATTTAGGGGACTGAAAGGGGCCCTGATTTCTTTGTGCTATAATGTGGAAACACTAAGATGAGAGGACACAAATTTAAGATTTGAAAAAACAGACTAGGTTCCTTTTCTAACAACTTTATTTTTAGAACAAGGTGATTAGGTGATGAATTTAGTTGCTACCAGAATATTGGAGGTCAGAATCACACAGAACTTAAAAAGGGAATAGATGATATCCTGAAAAATAAGGGTAAATTTTTGCTTTTTTTCTCATGGGTGTGGATAAACAGGGGCAGTCTTGAAGGACCAGATAGTTCCTTGTGGCCTTTAATGTGATGTATAGAACCATGATGAGAAAATTCTTATTTGGTATGTTGCTAATTATTGTTTTTTTCTCATATTCCTATGAGAGTCTTATCATTAAAAGTAGTAGTGTTGAAATATCAACCAAAAAATTGAACAAATAGGTAAATTATTTTTAAAAAATCTTGTTTTTTGCAGCTGAACTGTGTAAATGTAGATGGAAAAATCTAAAAGATGTATTTGTAAAAGAGAAAAGAAAACTTGAACAACATGTAAATGGAACTTCAGTCAAACATAAAAGGAAGTGGAAATTCTATGATAAGTTGACTTTCCTGTGTGGCTATATGCCAGTGAAGGAAGTAGAGTGAGTATTTTCAAAATTTGTATACCAATACCAGTTTTATTATATATATTACATGTATACCAATACCAGTTTTATTATATATATAATAAAACTGGTATTGGTATACATGTAATATATATAATAAAACTGGTATTAGGTATACATGTAATATATATAATAAAACTGGTATTAGTATACATGTAATATATATTATATATATATATAATAAAACTGGTATTAGTATACATGTAATATTACATGTATACCAATACCAGTTTTATTATATAATAAATAATTATAACTTTTGATCAGAGTAAGCTATATAGTTAGACTGAAACTAAAAACCAAACTGGTCAATAGTATAACTGATTAAATATAATTTTCTTATATTTCTACTTATAAAGATCAGAACTGATTGTTTCATCAGTTTAGGGGACCTTTACTTCTAATATTTTCAGCCATAATCTCGATAATATCTTGTGAGTTTTGGACATGTTAGGAGATTTAGGTTAGTCTTGAATACAAATTCTAAACTACAATGCAGAACAGTCTTTATAATAAAAGTATAATAATATTAAACAATGAATCAAAATAAAAAGTAGTGACATTCAATATCACTATTATAACTATAACATAATAACTGATATTGTTAGTGATAAAAACACGTGTAAAAGCCAACCAATTAGAACTTAGAGCTTTAAAATCAACTGCTGTATGAACATATATACTGGCTAATATTAATCAGGTTAAATAAAGCTTGAATGGTTACAAATGGGTAGAACAAGCATAAAAATCTCATAATCCATACTAATATAATTCTCCAAACAGAATGGAAAAAAAAAGTTGTCTCAATAGCTATGCCTTTTTGAACTTAAATTGCCATCAATCGAATTAAATATTTATATTTCCTATCGGAAAAATGTTTCCAACAAGAAACACAATATTTATGTTTATATAAGTAGGAAAGTAGCTTTTGCAGTTGTACATTATTACCAGTTTTATTGTCATATTCTTTTAATCAGTAAACTTTTTTAATGAGAAAAGTTAGAAGGCAACTGTACTCACTCATCAAAATTTTTCATTGTTTTATATGATAAAGTGATGAACTTGAATGCACGTGTTCATGTACTTTTGAGGATACAAAAGGTCAAGTTACAACCTGAGATTAAATTTGCATGTTTATATTCTTAAACTGTTTACATATTCTTTTATTAATAGTTTATCAAATGATTTTTTTTATCATCTAGTTAATACAGGTAGTTATATTTACTTTTAATTGCCAGTGAAAGTATTGCGTTGATATTCTATCGTGCAAATTTTCTTGTTCTTATATAAATTTGGAATTCAAAATTGTGTTGACTAGTTAATATTTTGCTTTTGATTATATATTTTGTTAACTGCTAATGAAGATCTGGTTATAAAATTTGATGTAGGGGAATGTTTGTAGAAGAGTGATGACTACGTAACTAGTTTCTAAACTTTGTTACATGTTGAGATCAAGAAAAATTAAATATTAGTTTTTCGAAATCCCAATTTGAGATCTTGAGACTAGATTTATCATTAGTGATTTGGATTACTGAGTTAAAAGGTAATGTGGGACGAATTTGTTAAGTTTATAAAATAAGGTACTTTTAATTCATTATATGCATGTTCCTAAAAAAAAAGAAAGTCAGGGAAAATCAAACCCATTTGGCTTACTAAAGACATAAAGGAGAATGTCAAAGACAAACACCATAAGTTTAAAAAGTTTAAGTTAATAAATAGGATGGAAGATTTTTAGAATTATATAAAATCTAAAAGTTTGTTAAAAATAAATTAGAAAATAAAAAGGGCTTATGGAAATCAGCTGATTGATAATGTTAAAACTAATAGTAAAGCTTTTTCTAAGTTATGTATGTTGAAAGTAAGCAAGATATTAAAATGGGGATTTGACTCTTAATGGATAATGATGGTAAAGTTTTTGTTGGTGGCTATGAAGTGCCTGAGTGTAAAATTTTTTCTTCTCTGCTTTTTTTTTGCAAGAGAGAATATCTAGCAATAATTTTGCTATAATTTCCCATACATTGAGCATTGTATGGGAAATACTGGAATTGACCTGAATTATGAAGACGCTAATTCTGTATTTTGTTTTATCCACCATCATAACCCAAGTTGAACAAAAAACCTGGCCTAGCTAACTAATGAATAAATATTTGCTGTAAAAGTTTTATAGATGCTGTAAGTGTAACTACCAGTTTGGCTGCCAATTTTGATTTCATTGCTTTAAGTCGCACACTCAATCTATTTTGGCTGCATCTTTTTTTCACACCTAAGGTGTTTTTGATTACATTGCTAGTAAAGTATTGGTGGTATTTTCTCTTGAGAAAAGAAGGGTAGGATGTAAGGGTATTGATTGCTTACAAATTTATCCAAGAGAATAAGAGGATAAAAGTCTCTGATTTCTTTGAGCTGTATCCTGAAGGCAATATAACAACAGAGCACAAGTTTAAGATTTGAAAAGGAAGTGTAGTTTACATTTAAACAGCCGTATTTCCCAAACAGAATGATTAGTTTATAGAATGAGTTGCCATCAGAAGTAATAGTTTAAGAGGGGAATAAATAATTTCTTAGAAAATATAGAGTGGATTGATTTTGGTTTTCTCTTTCTTGAGGGTGAGTATGCTATAAGAACCTTGAAGGGCCAAATGTTCCCTTGTTTGTATATTACTTATAAGTAATAAAAGAATTTGATGTGAAAGACTATGTTTCGATAAGGTCTTACACCCCTCACATAGAGCTATCTTGATCTTTTTTCTGTCCTCTAAGCATTGCTAAAAAAAAGTTTGCACTCAGTGCACCAGTCTTTATACTCCACCAATTTTGAGCTATTATGAACATGTACATATCATATGACTACTCTCTGTCAATAGCATTGTGCCACCTATATTGGTGCAGCTATCTCCCTCTGCTTTTCCCACTCAATCTTCACTTTCTCGATTGGCACTACATCAGTTAGATTGTTTTTTTTGCATGTAACTACAATTTATGATTGTGCTTTATGGCTATTTCTAATATTTTTCTTTTAACAGTTGTATTAACCACAGTTTTATTTTTCTGTTTGATTTCAATCTGCTGAGGAAGTGCAGGCCTTCATGCACAGGGATGTAGAGTCATGTATTTAGCCGGTGATTTCTTCTCCTTTTCAACCTGACCATGTTTCTGGGGAAGAATACCATCAAGGTGACGACTGTTTTGAATCTTTTTTTTTTCCAACATTTCTTATTTTGGTCAGTCAGAATTTACACATGTTCAGAAGATTACACCTTCCAACCCTTTTTCACAATTTGTTAATCAAGTATTTACATGTTTTTCCTATAACCTGTTATGCCTCCCCTTCCTTATTGGGTGACGTTCCACTTTCTGAATTTTATCTTTTTTTTTCCCTTCACCCAACATACAAGTTCATGTTTAAAGATTTTCTGACCAAATTCAGCCGAATGTCAGTATGCCCTGTCCCTCTCATTTGTCTGACCAGTATGCTTTGGCATACCACCGTGCTTCAGATCCATATTTGGATTCTCAGCATTTGGATCCTCTACTTTGCCTTTGGGGTTCAAATCCTGGGGGTTTGGTTCATTTTAATCAGGATCAATTTTCAATGATTCTCCTTTCTTTTTCCTCCCTTTTACATTACCTGTCTTCCCTCCATTTATTGTCTGAGGCCTTTTCTCACTCCCCTGACATATGACTTGTTTATAGGCTTCTGCTGTTTCCCTTAATACCTGGCTCCTGTGCTCTTGGGGCTGGTTGGGGAGGGATGCATTATTTGCAGGGATATGTCTCTCTCATCCATCCCTGCAAGATCTGCATCAAGCTCCGTTCCTATGCAATACCAATATGGGGGCTGTCCTGATTCTTTGGAATCCAGGATTGATGTGGCTAGATTGCATTCTTCCTTTTCTTCTCTGGCCATGTTTATTTCGCCCTTCCACTTCCTTCCATGAGATGCCTATCCTTGTTTCCTATCCTCCTCCTTCCTCCCCAAGACCCTTGTCTTTCTCCTGGCTCTCCCATCCCTACCCTCATTTTTCCTGGATTGGTGGGGGACAGATTGATCCACTTATTGGCCATGTGGCAGCATTTCATGACAGATCTGTGGGTTCTGTCAGGAGGTCTTTGCCTTCAGTTCAAGTCTCCACCTTCCTTTTCTCATTCCACAATTTTCTTCTCATCTCCCCGGGATCCTACATCTCTTGGTCATCTTACTGAGGCAGTCCACGACCTACTTCACAAAGAGGCTATTGAGAAGGTGTGCTCCATTCAACTGGAGTCTAATTCCCATTTCTTCATGGTCCCCAAGAAGACAGGAGATTGGAGACCTATCATTGATCTGTCCTGGTTGAATTCTTTTCTGGACCCCCCCCCCCCCTTGCATCACTATGGAGTCCTATCTGTCACTTTGGTGGGTGTTTTCCCCGGGACTCTGAATGACCAATTTCGATGTGATGGATGCCTGTCTTCATATTCCTATTGCTCCTGAATCACATCATTGTGTTTGGTTCACCCATGAGGGTTGGGTATTCTAGTTTAGGCCCCTTCCAATCAGACAACCTCAGGTCCTTGTGTTTTGTCAGGTGCTATGGAATTTGCCCAACATCTTCATTTGATGGATCTTTGCACTCATCATCACATGGACGACTGATTCCTGCTCGTTTCTTCCTGTTCACAGTCCAGAGACCACACACTCGTCTCCTCCTACAAGAGGCAGCATGAATGGGTTTGCTGATAAAGCTGGAGAAGTCCGTTCTTACCCCCCACTTAATACCTTGTTCAGTTGGGGTTTTTCTTAAATTCCAAATTCAGTCAGGCCCAGCCTTCTCTTTGGAATATGAAGCAAGTAGTGCTTTCCTGATCATTAGACCTTCTTCAATGTTTATTTACCAATGGTGATGGTCTAACTTTTGTCTTTGGTCTCTTTGACGTGGTTTCTGTCCTTTCCACCCTTCTGTTCCTCATCTTTCCCAATTCTTTATTTGGTTGTTTGACCAAGGCTTGTCCACTTCGATTGTGTATAGATTTTGGGCAACCTTGTTGAATACCTTCTGTTTCTCCAAGTTTCATAAGGTTTTGTCTTTCCCCTGTCATTTCCTTCCTTTTCTGCTCCTTTCTCATTGTGCACCATTGCCATTCTTTTGATTTACATAATTGGGATCTCAGTGTGGTTCTTTATGCCCTTTTCCATCCTCCCTATGAACCTTTGTCTACATGTTCCTTGTACCATACAATACATGTTTCCTTTTCCTCCTTGGTTGCCAACATTGTCAATAAGGTATTTATGCCATTAGTGTTACCCATATCCTCTGTGATTCTTCTTATGTCATCCTTTTATCCTGACTAGACCTTCTTCCGTAAGACCTCTGCTGTCCATAAAGGAGGTATGGCTTTCACACCCATTTCCTTACCTTCCATCTCCCACTTGTACTCCTGATTGGCTTCTTTATTTGGTTCCTTCCCTAAGGTGTTATGTGCCATGTACTGCCTCCTTTTAGAGTTCGTGTTCTTGACTTTTATTCCCTGGAACCCTTTCCTGTCCCATGATCTTTTTTCTCTCCTGTTAACTGGTTGGGTTCATCAACTTGTAAGGCTGTCGTATTCAGACTTATCCAAGGAAGAACACTGTATCCACAATGTTTCTTCTCATCAAATTTGTCATATCACCATGTCTTTGACTGCTTGCCTATGCTGTCTATTGGAAGAGGTTGTTCAGGTCAGAATGTGACCTACTGCCAATACGTTCATTGTTCATTATCTTCTTGATCGGGCTTTATCTTCCTCAGGTGGATATTGTATCCCTCCTGTGGTAATTCTACAAATGTCCATTCACCTTTGACTAGGATAAATCTTATCACTTCCTTGCATTCATGTTTTCTTTTCAGAGAACTTTACTTTTTCCAACTGAAAATGGGATCCCACTCTGTGGCGGGTGTTGCTTGGTCAGATATGCTTTGCTTCAAATCTGCACTATACCTAGGTTGTGTTATAATGCTCTCTGTAGAGATGGGATGTTCTGAAAGATCATTGGTAGCAGGATCAGTCTATGCGGGATCCTCCTCTTAATACTGGTTTCGGGACGATACTATCCTGTTCCTACAGTTGTGTAAAGTAGAGGCCACTCTTCTCCTTACTTCCAGTTGCAGGAGGTTCTTTTCCTGCTCCTACGGTTGAGTTTGGGGTACTTTGCCTCATAATTATTGGCTACAGGATGTATGTACACTGTTCATATGGTTGAGTGAATGTTCCATGTCTTCCTAATAATTCTGTGTACATAATTCCTGCATTTACGGTTGGATGGGTTATGATTTCTGCTGATAATATCAGTTACAGATCTTGCCCTGTTCTTACGGTTGAGCTGAGGCAATGCAACAACCTCGTAATGCTGGGCTTAGTTTTTGTACTTCTTGCTGCTATGGTTGATTTGGAAATTTGTCTGGTTTTGGCCAAATGCTCACTTCCTCTTCATAATTCTGGTTGCTTGACGTATGATACTCTGTTTACTTACAGTTGGGGTTGGTGAGTATATTTAACATGGTCAATATGCCTTAACCACTATGCTTATGTCACCCTATATTTCTTTTTATCTGATTCTCAACCTCTTAATGCCGAGGACGAGTTATGGAATCTTGTCTGTCCAGTTGAGGTTGTTTATCTACATTACTTATTCAGTTTTTATTTTACTGTTGATTGCACCTATCAGACTAAATTGACTTTTTTCTCCACCCATATCAGATTTGTTTCCTTCTTCAAGAGCAAAGAGCATACTTGTTCCAGATTGTAGTGCAGTACCCCACAAGTGTGCTTTGGTTTCATCTCAGAGCACAATTTTATTCTGGGCAGTGGTTTTTCACTTGGTTTCAATGTTCAGTGCCTACAATGGCTCCTCCACCTTTACAATATGGGATTCTAGCTTTGAGTGAGAGGAGGTAAAACCATATTGGAAGTTAACAGTTTTCTTACACTGAAAATGTATTTCCAATAGGTACTCACCTGTCTTCCCACCCTTCCTTCCGTCTGCCAGTGTTAGTCTTTTAGAGCCTGTCAATTCTCAAAAGTGAGGATTGAGTGGGAATAGCAGATTGATGTAGCTGTGCCAATATATGTGGTGAGCATTAACATGTTCAAAAAATGGTGCAAAATTAATGGGGTAAATAGACTGGTGTGCTGAGTGCAAAAGATTTTAGCAATGCTTAGAGGCCAGAAAGAAGATTGAAATAGCTTTGTGTGAGAAGAGTTAAGTACCTATCAGAAGTGCATTTTGTGTAAGACAAATGTTAACTTTTGTTCGAGAGCCATATTATATTGCTGACAGTGTAGATCTAATCCAGACTTTTTGTTATTGAACTTTTCTTAGAATTATCTTTGTGTGATATTCTCTCTACTAGAATTTAGAATTTCAATAAATATATTTGTGAATATTATGTTCATTTAAATAGACAAATTAGTTTTTGCCCTTAGAGAAAACTTGTGCTTGCTTAGTGTTTTTGTTTTTCTTCTAGACAAAATAGTTCTGTTATATCTGAAGACCTAGTAAAGGAAATGCAGCAATCAAAAGAAATGATAGTTATTCCACATTTACAGGAAGAGGAAACAGAGTCACTGGAAATTTCTCAGAACAGAGATATCTTTCACGGTATAAAAAGGAAATGTGCTTGTATTTCTTTGAAAGGACCAGATAAGCTCCATCTTATCTCTGAAGTAAAAGATGAAGAAGGTCATTTTGGTGAAACAGTTGCAGCAGTGCTGAGACGTCTGACTCCATACCAGAGAGCTGTTGCTAAAGTTAAGATTCAAGAACTTTTACTTCATGCTGAATTTGATGAAAAGGATGTTATCCCTTCAAATCCCTAGTGGTGAAATTATTGGCTATATGTAGATGTGAGGTACAGCATCAATAACCTTTCCAATTTGGTCCAATAAACTTTTATAACATATCTACCTGTATATATATAGCTTTTGTATCAGTTTATATGTGTATAGCTTGATTACTGTCTTGGTTACAGAAATTAAATATTCATGTTAGAAAATCGTTTATTACTATAGTTGTTTTATACCTGCATTATTTTCCCAAGTTTAATGTGCAGTTCATATTGAAAGCTTTTATTCTAACTCTTTAGATGTGACATATGTTTCAGTTTGCTTCACTGACTGAGATAAAGTTTTCCTCATTGTGTATTTGTTTACTGTCCATGACTGGATGTTCAGTTCCATATTTAATTTTGAAATTGTTTATGTGTGACAATTGAGTGAAGTAGGATAGTGATTGTATGCCAGACTTAACAAGGACACTTCTATAGTCTATAGTTAGAATATAATTTCTTTTAGTGTAATATGAAAGATGATGTTATAATTTACTAGTAATCAAATGCTTTAATAGAACCTTATTATTATTATTTATAGTAAATGCTAAAATAAGATTTGTAAAAACTTGCAATATATCATTATTAATAACTTCAGAATATATGTTCACCAAACTTCTAATTAAAGCAAAAAAAATGAAGTTGTACTTTTTAAGGAAGGTAATCAGATGATAGCTAATGCAAAGATAAGAGATAAAATCTATATTATAGTTTGAAAAACTGATCTCCAGATTTCAAATTAAGGTGAAGTTTGATTAAAAAAATGTTTCACATTTTTCAACAACGGAATTACATTGAATCTTCACTTAGGTTTCCTCATCGTAAATCCCTTCAATCATAATGACATTATAAATAGAATATTTCAGTTTTACTACAGAAACATTTTGATCTGGTTTAATTATTATAAAAAATAATTTAGTTCTAGCATTTTCTCATCAAGTATTCTTCAAAATGTACATATTTATATAGAGCATGGGAAAAAAATAATGCAAGTTTCTAATTAGGATTGAGTGGCCCCACCAGTGGCATGTCTGTGGACTTAATACTGGGTTTCGATACTCATGGTGGGCAGAGCACAGATAACTCATTGTGTGGCTTTTGCTTAACTTCAAACAATTAAATAAAATGAAGACTGAATGAAAAGTACAGGACATGGTTGAAGATCATTTCCATTATTCCATAGAAAATTAACAATACTTAATGGGAAATGTTTTTATTATGATTGTAGTAGATTATTGCTTTTTAAAAGTAGTTGCTTAAGAAGACTGTTAATATGTCTTATAGATATTAAACATTTCCAATCATACAAGTTAAAGTTAATTGATCTTTCCAACATGTTATAATACTTTTATTTGTCATAATTAGTGATACTGTAAAATAGATACAAGGTTAAGCCTTGTTTTATTGTATGTAGAAATATGGAAATTGGCTCTTCATTTGGAAACTTGTTTGGAAAGCCATTTAAGAATAGGAAGTCAAAGTATAAAACTTTCTTACTTTTGCAAGAAATATCCAAAACTTGATACATTTATGAAAAATAAAATTGAAAAACCAAATGAAAGTTTAAGAAAATCTTATTACACCAATTTCTAAAAAAATGCAGTTTTTCTAATGGAAGTAATTTATAATGGATAAGATGAATTGTAAGGTAGTAATAGGTCAAGAAGTGTAATTTGGAAAACTTACAAAAACTTATTTTAACTAGAAACAACTTCTGAACAAGACACTTATGTTGGCAGAATTGCTCTTTTTTTCCACTGATTTATTTTAAGTAGAACTAAAGTAACGTGGCCACATTACCAGAAAATGCTACTATTAATCATGATTATTCTAATATATCACCTTAAAACTTAATTTTTCAAAATCTAATGTAAAATAAGAACAGTTTTGAATTTTTTTTAACACTTTTCTTTGAGAAGCATTATTAGAAGACTGATGAACTTTCCTAGATTTATGACCATGATGATTTTAGGGGTGACTTTCATTAGAAATTGCTGGAAAGCCACATTTATACTTGAACCATATTTAATCTTCACAGGTGATCTGTAAAATAATATATTAAGTAACCATGATACACAATATATATAACAGCTGAGCACAGTGTGTGTGAGTATGTGTGTAGAATTGTAATATATTTGAATTATATAACTTACCAGAGCCAGCACTGAAATGCATCAATTGTTTTAATCAAAACAGCATTAAATAAACATAAAAGTTATGCATTTAATATAAAAAAAATGATTAAAAAACTGATTGTTTAAGTTTGGGTGTTTATTTAAGATCAGAACACTTAGCTTGAGTAGTGGTTCATGTTTTGATGACCCAAGACTAGAATGTTAAAATTATTTAGGAAAATAGTGTTTTTTGTTTTTCTGTGCTTAGAGATAGCAGGGGAGAAAATATGTTTTTACTGGTTCTGCTTAAAACTTCCCTTTCGTCACAAACATTAATTTTGTAAATTCCAAAATGTCATAAAATTAAAGATGGTCCAGTTGTTAACTAAACTCCATTTTTGACTTGACAAATCTAATGATTTATGGTCACTGGAATCAGTAAACTTTTTCCAGATAGTAAAGGATTCTTTAACAGTTCTTTAACTTCTTTTCACCTCCCCTGGTCACCAATTAAATTTATCAGTTATACATGCTAACATTTGAAAATTCTTGTTATAGGATCTTAATCTTTTGAAACATTCATTAAAACAGGAAATTTGTTTAGATTGAGTACCTGATAAGTTCCAGTTAAAGAAAAAGGAATCTAAAGTCAATATAACAGATTATACTCTTACTACTCTTCAGTAACTTGTATTTCATGCAGCTTCATTATACTTATTTTATTAATCAAGCATTATGGATGACTCGTAGTTTAATCAGTAGCATCAAGGCATTTCATATCTGAGTCAGTTTTTAATCGTCAAACTTTCTTTGAGCCTTAACTGGTTTAATTTTCCACTGAACTGATGATCGAATCACAGTTGTTCCATATATGTTGTGCTAAGCTGGAAATTTTCTTGTTATTACTGTAATTGTTCACTTATCCCGACTAAGATGTTGTGCAGTAGATCCATTTTTGTTTCAAAGTCAAGATCAGTAAGCTCACCCACTCCAACTTTATCTACAAGAACCAATGACATCTAGCCCAAACTACGTATGTGAAAGAATTGCTTAAATACAGGCTGACTCATTCTCTTTGTATATATTTTTTATTAAAATTGCATAGTCTATATACAGTTTTGGGATTTAACCATAATTTATACTTCAATGTTTTGTTAATATGTCATTTTTACATAAGTAATTGTTTTCCATATATCTCAGTCATTTTTCATACTCAAAGCAGTAGTTCTCTAATTGAAAATCGAAAAGAAAAAAATACGATGTAGTAAATAAGTTGAGGAGCAGTACTTAAGCTGCCAATACGCAATCTAGCCTAAACTATGTACATCAAAGAATTGCTTAAATACAGGCTGAATCATTCTCTTCTTCATTTATTCATGCTAAAAGGTGAAGCAGTAGGTTTCAGTGTAGAGGGGGAACATGCTTATGTAATTATAAATTGTATTTTAGTGTACAGCATTAGTATAATTCATTATTTTTAATTTTCCAGATAATGGGCAAGTTTATTAACCTACTGCGAGTATTGCTTAAACAAATATAAAATAATAATAAATAAATAAAGAACCTGCTCTTGACCTGTGTTTGGAGCTATGATATTCTTTATTCTCACTATAACCCGTTTCATTTGTACATGTTTTACAACATGCTAATCCGTTAGCATCATCTTGGATGGCACATGTAATATTTAGATGTAAGTATTCATTACAGTATTAATGTGCTACGATATTTTACGTCCAGTTCTTTATCGAATAACAATAAATTATCATTGGTTCTGTTTGATTAATATCTAAACATACGTTTTTATATTGTATTTTCCAATTTGGAGTTTGTTTTTTTATCGTGGAAGACATCATATTGATCATATAGGCCTATTTATATCCAGTCATTGTTCTCTTATTAAAGTGTTTACACAGCTTTCATTGATAAAACTAATCACCGAATGCTTCAACACTTCCTGTGTAATTATGATGGTTGTTTAAAATACAAATATGTAAGAAAAAAATCAGCCATAGAAATCGAGGCCACATATATTACTGTAAAGAAAACTGGCTGAATTCTAACATGCTTGGAAGTTATGTCAGTAATTTTAAATTTCAAGTTATTTATCTGATTTTTTTTCTCCAAATTATATAAAAATACTGAGCTAATTATGTATTTATAAGATGAGTTTCAAGTTCATAACTTCTGCTAAATCACATTAATTTTTTTGTCTTGTATTTTTTCACAGCCTGTTGTGCATAATAACTTGCTAAAATATTAAGCGTGAGGTAAGCCTATAATTTTTAATTTTTCGATACATGTTTCTGTAAATTACATAAGAAAAGTCCTTGACAAAAGTTATTTCTTGAGTATATATATATTTTCTATCAAATAAAGTTTCCGTATTTTCGATGCGAAGAAAAAATATTATAGGAAGAACTTCAATCAAAATTGGAAATTTTATATCTAGTGTATTTCTTAATGAATTGTGTTGAAATTTGTTATTTGTGTTCAGTAGAGCATATCCACTGAAATTATGTTATAGTTTGGATTACCATAATTCGAGCTACAGAAATTGGAAAATTGCTAAACTTTCACTCCTGTCAATAACACACAGTGTGTCCTGCAGGTTGTTTTGGCAACACGACACACTAGGGCAAGGTACAGCAATTATAAAATCTAATCTATTAAAAAGAAGAAATTTGAATTATTTAGAAATTCACAAATCACATAATACTACTGAGTGCTAATTACATGTAAGTAATGTGTGATAAAAACAGCAGGAGAAGAAATAAGAAGGTGAAAGAAAAGTTGATTTGTGGATGTTTCATTCAAAAAATGTGATTGTAAGTCATATGTTTATTTTTATAAATTATTAAAGACTAACTGAATTACCCGTTCCCTGAACAGGGGGTGTCCAAATTACTTGAAATAGATATTTAAAAGCACAATTAAATTACTTTTAAGAACATTTATTTAAACAAAATAATTTTCACAACATTTTAATTTTTATCTAAACCTTTGATTTTCAAAACAAAAATTACACAATCTAAATTAAAGCTTATTGATACACAGCACTGGCTATTGTTCCTTGTTCTGACAATATAAACAGGTTTTGATGAGATCCAACCCTTGAACATCCTTCATAGAACTAACCATGTGAAAAGCAAGGCTGCTTTAGGAACAATCCAGCAATCGTTAAACTTTGACCTTGTGCCTTATTAATTGACATTGCAAAACAACTTGTAACTGGGAGTTGGAGCCTTCTAAATTCAAAGGGGAATACTTGGAATGAAGAAATCTTCACCTTTGGCATGATCGGTTGCTTCAATAACGTGGCAGTAAAGTCTTAACAACTAAACTTCTGCCATTACATAATTTGGAGGATAAAGATTTTTCAACAACATTATTTGTGAACCAGCCGATAGTTTCAGAATGTGGCCTGGCATCCCTGGTGGTACAAGAGACCTTTGAAATTCAGTTGGGTAATTTGCAGCATCAACTGTAACAGGAACATTGACATGTGAATACCTATCCGGAAACTTTTTGCAATAATTGACCATTGTCATAAGCAATATCATTTCGAAGTGCAAGAATTGCTCTTTTACATAACCATTAATAATTTTCACAAATATTAGGGAACACTTTTTCCTTTAGCTCTTCTGCATCCGTAAATAAGTTACCACACTTGTCTGAAATAATAATGTAGTTGTTGGATTGACTGATTGGAAACTTTCCCACACCAACTTAAGAAGTTTCTGAATTAAACCGTTTGCTTTTATTTCAACAAAATTATTAAAAAATAAACCACAAATTAACATGTATATTACGCGTTTAACATAAACAATATTGTTGGCCAAATAACAATATCGTTATAATTTTGTAAACGATGATATATTGTGTTGAGTATTACCAAAAGGAGCGTGAAACGAAGACAATTTTTGTGGGAAGCTTGCCCCTTCGTGTTACTTCTGGGGACCGTAGGAGTCACCATTCCAAGTTTGGTAGTGATTGGTCAAATATTCTGCGAGAAGTTAGTGGACAGACAAACATACAAATCTATATATATATATATAGATTCGGGTGCTACTATAGCGTGCGGTCTACAAAGATATTTACACTATAGCATGCGATCAACAAAGATATTATAATTATCACCATGTTAATGATTCACTAAAATATAATTTCTTGCTTGATAATTTATATATATTCACGTTTTTGTTTAGCAAATAATAATAATTTGATAAGTTGTGTGTTCCAAAAGAGTACCTTAAATTTTGGTTATAATTGTCCTAGTTTTGATTATTGGTATCTATTTCATTCCGATTATATTTGCCCCCAAAACGTTATGTATTGGTATTTTGTACTTTATTAGTTTAAAAGCGTTATTTATAAT